CCGACATCCACATGTATGTTCTCACCACCCACCTTGAACACAAATGTCATGAATAGATAACGGAAAACCCAGTTATACTTCAAGATAACGACATTTGCATCGCTGGTCTCATAGTACTTAACTTCCTTACTTTCTACGTCATTATGCCTAGGCTTCTGTAATTGTCATGAAATCGTAATCGAGCCTCCAAATGCGCAACCCAAAACCTAGCAACGTTCAGAACTATAGTATTTCAATGAACAGAAACCCTTTAGAAAATCGGATGACCTGCAAAGAACAAATTTACACGCATGTCGGATGGGTGCAGATCCTTCTGAGGCCTGCATGTTGTAAAGTAACTAATTTTATAAGTTTCTGTCGTAATAGCCTGACTGTTAACTGGCCACACTTTTTCGATATACAGTTCCTGAAATAGGCTCAACGCATTATTCAACCTTGCCAAAGTAGGGGGATAAAATTCGAATTTCCCACTACTAAATGCTTTATCAAATATTCAAAGGTCAGTACTGGCAAGTAGTGGTCACCAATGGAGGAACCTGGACATGGTAGCCGTTACTGTCACCCATTTCATGCACTAGAATATAGTCTGGAGTATTCATAGCTATAAATGTTAGTTCTGAGTTTCAATCACATCTAGATGAAGGTAAACGGTCTTTTACCACATCGGCGTAAGTTACTGCAGTCTTTTAGAAGTGCACGCTTCTAAAGAAAACTATCAAACTACGGCGAACCAGCGCGGGACCATGGAAGGATTGAATTAACTACTAGTTTCACGAAAGGGCCGACTCAGGCCTCTGCTTGGCTTCTTCAAGTCCGCAGCAAAATTGCTTTTAACGAATAAAATCAAAGACTGAGCCCAGATTCCGTACACGTAGCGAATTCTCAGGATGGGCTGCCGGATTTTTATCACCTGTCGAAATGCAAACACAGTCAGTAGTGACTACTTCCGTGGTTTGGCATTACCAGCCCAGAGCTTTTTCGGAAATAAACATTAACAGCACAGAAGAACAAAAAACATTTTGAAGGACGCTGGGGAACATGATGGGGTAAGCAAATTTCTTTAACCACGACGCAAACTGCCAAGGTGACCGCCAACAATTATCTTGGCTCTAGGCACAGACAGAAAATGTACCAATAGATAATACTCATCAGCGCGAGTAGGTGGGTAGGATGTCAGGAGAGGAGTTCCCCAAGAAAAGAGATTGACATTTGGCAATCACAGCGCTACTGCCTCATAAGCACATACAAAACGAGAGGTGTAAACGATTTTTTAATGAAATGAAAATCTGCAGTATAATTAGTGTTCGCAAACTAACAAATGAATCGCACATATTACTTTGGAGGGGCGTCACCACCACCGAAGCTTGCAGACCATCCATTGAGAGGCCAACTGATAAACCGTTCCGTGGCCATATATTCTTTAATTTTAGGCAATGCCTAGAAGACAGAATGCGGACAGTAACCCAAATATTACAGAAAATGAAAATAATGTAAGGTCAAAAGACTTACCTTAAAGCGTTCGGTGTACTGCTTGAGATTAGGATGCTTCTTAAAGCAAGACGGTTCGAAAAGTTGAGAAATGCATAGGAACTCATACAGGAAAAAATCTGCGTAGGTGATCTGTAGAAAACAGGAACGATGATAATAGATAAAAATAAAACAGCAACATAACATGATTAAGTAGATACACAAACAAGGGAAAAACTTACGTTGTCACCCACTAGCCACTTATTACTGCCGAGGTAATTAGAAATATCCTCGATGCCCTTTTCAAATTGAGGCATAAAGGTTAGTTTTTCTTGTTCCTAGAGAACTCTAATGCAATATGTTGAAGAACCATACGTATTGTGGGCTGTAAACAACGCGAGCATAAGCACTTCGCAAATCTTTGATCGCGGCCTCAGCCATGGCGATTTCAGCTTTTTCCTTTGCGCCTTTGCCTCCAAAACCATGCTTCTCTCCCAGATAACGTAGAATAACACTTGACTGAGCAAGCTTCACATCTCCATAGATAATATACGGAAGCTGGAGTGGTATGCTCCTCAGAAATTCATCTTACGTTAGGAAAGCCAATATCGAGATTGTATTTCATTTTTTTCCATTCTTCTGCATCGTTTTTTCCGAATCTCTTTTCTTGATAATCTTCTCCAGTTTACTCGAGCAGGAGACGGATAGGCTGCGCCAACTGTGATAAACAAAAGTATATTTTTTTTGCATATTGTAGTGGCTATATCACTACAAATATACAAAACGTCCTAACAAATACG